CTTGTGTTGACTGCTGACAGTAGGAATACTGTCCCTTCAGAATGACTGGGACACAAGGATAAGTGGCTACTGAACTCTGCCAAGACAGAATAAGATAGTCTTTCAAAATACCTACTTCTGAAAATGATTTCTCAGATACTCTAGGCCTGTAGCCAATTTGAATGCACCAACGATGCTAAGAAGCTTTAGGCAACTGTCCAGGCTGCCAGCTGTCTCTGTCTACTCTCACAAGATTCCTAAAAGTTGCTTTAGTTCATCTCCTGCTTTCTCAGATGTTATTATGTTCCTTCTTAGGTCTTTGATGGAGTTGAAGACTAGATAGTTACAGTTACAATTTTCTCATATCTCAGCTAGAACATATTAGTACTAGAGTCAGAATCTTCAAGGTAGGACAGCTATTGTAATCTCTGTAATTTGCCATTAACCTACATTCTGGATATTTCTGGACATTTAGCATGTCTTTCTTGTTTGATGTTATTCTTGTTGGTTGTAGTTCCATTTTTGTTTATGTTATTACCCTTTGTTTTTCCTAGACAATACTTGATAATTATTCTTATTGTATATAGTTTGCATTAATATTAGACCTTCTTATTTAGACAAAAGGGGGAAATCTAGTGGTAATTGCTCTACTCATGACCTTGGGCTAAATGGACCAAAGGAGGTGGTACTTCCTGCCCTTTCATGACCTCTTATAAGGGGTTGCAGAATTGTTACATGCCCTTCTTCCTGCTCCTGTATGCATGGTAGTTTCCATCCCACTCAGATCAGAGGATGACTTCTTTTGTCTACTCCGTTCTGTAATCATGAGTGTATTTCCTCAATTTATATCTTAATAAATTCTGTTATTATTTATTAGACTTATAGACTTACTTAATAGTCTCACATGGACTGATCATAATAGTAGTAATCTGAAATAATTCTTTCTTCTGCAGGGTGCTTTTGTTAAGGAGTTTTATATGGCAGCAGGATAAAACTAGAGCACACACACACATACATGCTAACTGATACACAGATGCTGAATTCCAGGACAGAGGGACTCAGGATGTTTCCCAGTTGGTAGAATGTTTGCATAGCATGAACAAAGACTAGGGTTTTATCTCCAGTATCTCATAAGTCAGGAGAGGTGGTTCGCACCTATAATCCCAGTAGTAGCTCAATGAAAGAAGCAGGATCAGGAATTGAAGGTCATCATTGGTTATCGTGAGTTCAAAGCAAGCCAGGAATTGAATAAACAGACAAGAGAACAGAGATTCACTGGAGGTTCTAACTGATCTACTTCCTTTAAGCACAGAGGCAGAATAAGGGCAGGAAAATGCTGTCTTCCTTCAAAGGATTGTAATTTAGTCACTTGTCTCACCTGAGTAAAATGACCAGCAGGTCTTACCCTCATCTCAAATCTTCTCAGCAGAAGTATTTCTGTTACAACAGGTAGCATAAGTTCTATAGAATGCCAGCAACCATGTCTAATTCATCTTGAGATTTCTTTAATGTCAGATAAGCTTATTTCCCTTGGGGTACATGTAGGAAGCAGATGAAGTTTTGGTTGAATGTATATAGTTGACCAGGGCATGATCATACCAAGGATTCCAATGTCTTATACCCAGGGGAATGGCAAAGCCTTCCCCTGCTCAGTCTTGAAGAAAAACAAAAGCCCTCCTCAGGACCACATATCAATGTTGGCAGTATGTAAAACTTACAATCACAGCTTCCTTCTCCAGGCCAACTACAATCTGACCCAGCTTCCCTAACAGAGACACTACCACACAACACCAAAAAGATTAACACTGTGCTGGATAGTTTTATGTCAACTTGACACAAGATGAAGTCATTTGAGAGGAGGGAATCTCAAATTTAAAAAGTCTACATAAGGTCTATCTGTGGGCAAGCCTATAGGACATTTTCTTAAATAATGATTGATATGAGAGGGACCAGAGGGACCAGCCCATTGTGTTTGGTGCTATCCCTGAGCTGGTGGTCCTAGTTCCTATCAAAAGACTGGCTGTGCAATCCCATAATGCACAATCCAGTAAGCAACCCTTCACAGCCTTGCATCAGTTTTTGCCTAATGTTTCCTGCTCTCACTGTCCCTGATGATCTGTTATATGGAATTGTGAGCAAAATAAACCCTTTACTCCCCAGGTTGCTTTTTGTCATGGTGTTTTATCACAACAGTAACCCTAAGACACCTGGCTTCCCCATTTAGCTGTATAAAATACCCCAGCTCCTCAGTTCAGATGTATTATAATACACACACACACACACACACACACACACACACACACACACACAAACACACATGCACACACAAATGCTGAGTTTCCTTAGTTTCCAAGCTGCAGCTGGTTGCCTCCATAAGAGGCCATGGACCTACTCAATACAAACTTTCCTGTATGTGTATCTTTCATTTCTTCATTCCCTGCTACTCAATTAAGGTTATCATGTAAGCAAAATGAACAATAAACCTTTATTTATGACTCCATCCTCACGCATTAGGTGCAAGCAATACTTCAAAAATCAAGACCACTTTTGTAGGCTCCGAAGGACTGTCTTTGAGAAAAAGGAGGAAATGAGGATTCCTACTACTAGTTCACAGGCAGGATGTTTATTAGCTCCAGGGAAGTATCTTGGGGAGGAGCATGGTAGAAGCAGAACACAGCACATGGAGCTCAGTCCAGACATCAGATGAACTGGTGCTGAAATGAGCTTCACATTGTTTAGCCAGGTGGCCACACCTTCCACCTGGGTTGACATCAGGGTAAACCTTCATGACCTTGGACTAGGATGCTACCTGCAGCTGAGGCAAACCCTGAAAGTAGCTTGGAAAGCAAGTATGTCCACTAAGGTTCCTCTTAAGAGGGAAGAGCAGAAACCAGTAAGAGGAAACAACTGTAAGCCAGACCCTAGCATAGGACTCAGAGCTGGCCCTGTCATCTGCCCTCTTGTTCAAGGGAAGTCTGAGATAAGACTGCATCCTTTGCAGAAAAGCATAGCATATTGGTACTTGTCTATTTGCCCAGGTATCCAGCCATTTAAAAATTGTCTGCAGCTTGGGTGGCATGGAAGGGAGCTGACAGGAAGAGCCCTTCATCTAATATTTTCAGGGTATATCAGCATGTTACAGCAAAATAAACTTTATCCTATACTCACTTGTAACCAAGTCAGCAGGATCATATTAGAGGTAAAGTTTGCAACTCTATTGACATCTAGGAACTCCAACGCTGGCAATACAAAAATGGTTCCAAAAAACATTTTCATAGTCACTCAAAAACAAGAATTCTCACCCACAAAAATGCATGAGATGTTCCTTTTATTTCTTAATTGTATTATCCTGGCTTGTAGTATGTCTGCAAATCTTGTAGTATATCTACAAATCTATATGGATCTTCCATAATTAATGTGCTAATTATGTTGATTAATATTTTCCCTACTGCACTGAGTACTGCTAAACTAATTTTCTTCACACTTTTGGGGTTTTCTAGTTGTACATGACCATGCGTGCTGCATTATTTCTATTTGTAGGTTTTCACTGGTGAATCAGTATTTTAAAGGTGGATAATAGTTGAGTATTACTATTGGTGTGTGTGTCTGTTCCTTTAGGATCAATTTTCAGATGAATCTACACTTATAGCACTAGTTTTAACACATGCAATGCATATGGGGGTTTTTCTAGAATGGACTTTCTAAAGTGCACTAATTAATGTCTTATAACGAGGAACTAATTTAACAAAACTGTGAACAAAGTGTTTTCCCCTTACTATCAATTTTGTGGTAGACAAAAGTTTTGAGGAAAATTTGTGGGTTCATTAAATGTTTTATACTATGACTTTCCAAGAGAAATGAAACATGCATATATGTTTACTCATAAAAAGAGAAGAACTGCTGGATAAATGAGACAGTTGATTAGCTTGATCTGTTTGGGAGGCATCCAGGCAGTGGGACCGGGTCCTGTACTCAGTGCATGAGTTGGCTGTTTGAAACCTGGGGCTTATACAGGGACACTTGGCTCAGCCTGGGAGGAGGGGACTGGACCTGCCTGGACTGAATCTACCAGGTTGAACTCAGTCCTCAGGGGAGTCTTTGCCCTGGAGGAGATGGGAATGGGGGGTGGGATGGGGGAAAGGCAGGAGGTAGGAGGGGGGTGAACAAGGGAATCCGTGGCTGATATGTAAAATTAAATTAAACTATAAAATAAAAAAAGATAAAAAAAAGAGAAGAACTGTAAAGGAACAAAGTACAGATGTCACTGAAGTTCATCTTGTTGAATGAACGAATTTTATTCAAGTTACTTACAGGAATATGTGAAAGGAGTTGCTTACAGTAGTAAAAGGGGCTCAGACAGTTGCTACCATGAAACTCCAACCCACCTTGGGATACAACTTATGAACAATGGACACCCTGAGCCCACTACACATGTGTAGGCCTGTCTACATGTTGGAGGGTATCATTTCTTTTTTTTTTTTTTCAGAGCTAAGGAGTGAACCCAGGGCTTTGTGCTTGCTAGGCACATGCTCTACCACTAAGCTAAATCCGCAACCCCCAGGAGGGTATCATTTCTTGGTATCTCAATTCATCAGAGCTTCTTCTAAGCAGCATTACTGGTCTGAGTTTCTTCAGGGGACTTAAGCATAAGAAATCCTATGTTTTGCAGACTTCCTAATGATATATGAAGGTGTTTTTTTTTGTGTTATTACCTTCCCTTCATGAAGAAATGTTGCAATCTCCAGAAAAATTTTAATCAACATTACCTTCCTGTTTTTACCACTTTGCATAAATTATGCAGTCTTTGAGGTTAAGAGTAAAATGTTTTAATGAATTTTTTTCTACATTCAGAATGTTTGCTCAGTGCAAACTATAGATATTTTCTAGGAGTTCAATTATATAAAGGATATCTAATCTTCATAATATTTTCTAGTGTCTTTTAAGGACAGAGCTTGGAAAAAACATATACAAAGTCATTTCCAACAGAAACTTTTCTCCCCAGGATGAATTTTCTGATGGATCCTTAGCGGTGTATGCTAGCTAAAGCATTAGTGGAATTAGCTACAAGTTTCTCTCCTGTATGAACTCTCTGATGTTTTTTAAGAGTTGAGGCACATATGAATGATTTCACACATTCACTACATTTGTAAGGTTTCTCTCCTATATGAAGTTGCTGATGTATTCTAAGTTCTGAAGTACTTGAAAAGGAGTTCTCACATTCCCAACATTTGTAAGGTTTTTCTCCTCTATGAATTTTCTCATGACTTCTAAGACCTGATCTATATTTAAAGAATTTCTCACATTCACTACATTTGTAAGATTTCTTTCCTGTATGGCTTTTCTTATGTGACTGAAGATTTGAGCTACATGCAAAGGACTTTTCACATTCATTACATTTATAAGGTTTTTCTTCTGTATGAAGTATCTGATGTCTTTTAAGATGTGAGATATATGTAAAGGATTTCTCACATTCCCTACATTTGTAAGGTTTCTCACCTGTATGAATTCTCTGATGTTTTATAAGAGTTGAGCCAGATCCAAAGGATTTCTCACATTCCTTACATTTGTAAGGTTTCTCTCCTGTATGAGTTCTCTGATGAGTTTTAAAATTTGAACTATTTGTAAATGACTTCTCACATTCACTACATTTGTAAGGTTTCTCTCCTGTATGAATCTTCTGATGATTTTTAAGAGTTGAACTATATGTAAATGACTTCTCACATTCACTACATTTGTAAGGTTTCTCTCCTGTATGAATCTTCTGATGATTTTTAAGAATTGAACTATATGCAAATGACTTCTCACATTCACTACATTTGTAAGGTTTCTCTCCTGTATGAATCTTCTGATGATTTTTAAGAATTGAACTACATGTAAATGACTTCACACATTCACTACATTTGTAAGGTTTCCCTCCCGTATGAATCTTCTGATGATTTTTAAGAATTGAACTATATACAAATGACTTCTCACATTCACTACATTTGTAAGGTTTCTCTCCTGTATGAATCTTCTGATGATTTTTAAGAATTGAACTACATGTAAATGACTTCACACATTCACTACATTTGTAAGGTTTCTCTCCTGTATGAATCTTCTGATGACTTTTAAGAGTTGAATTACGTGTAAATGACTTCACACATTCATTACATTTGTAAGGTTTCTCTCCTGTATGAATCTTCTGATGACTTTTAAGAGTTGAATTACGTGTAAATGACTTCTCACATTCACTACATTTGTAAGGTTTCTGTCCTTTATGAGATTTCTGATGTGTTCCAAGATTTGAGCTACATCCAAAGGACTTTTCACATTCACCATATTTGTAAGGTTCCTTTCCTGTATGAATTCTCTGATGGTTTCCTGTAGTATCGCTGGTGTTATAAGGTATACACTGAGATGATTCATAAAGCATTTTGCCAAGGTCATTATTTTTATAAGACTTCTTTTGGATATTCACATGTTGATAGACAGGACTCTTTGATCCTTGATCCATGCTGTTCTCATATTTACCACATATGCGATGTTTCTCTGGAAAGTGAGAACAAATAGGGCTAATAGGAACTGATGAATGAGTAAAAGATTCAATACTTGAAGTTCCCTCAAGTTAACTAGCATTTACTAGAAGCCGAGCTTCCAGCATAGGCCTTCTGTGTTTTACTATCATTAACTGAACAGTTATAAAAACCACTGCAGTCTCCATTAAACACAAGGATCACTGAAGGGGCTTCCATCCTTACATGGAATAGATATTTTGAAGAGGCAGGAAAAATGGGTGATTGAGAAAGCATCATATGTGGATTATTTCAATACAGAGTCATACTGTGCAGCCTTGGCTGACTAGGAACTCACTATGTATCCCAAGCTAGGCTGAAACTCACCAGTTCCTCTTGGTTCAGCCTCCCTAGTGCTAGGGTTGAAATCATGTTCACCATGACTAAAGATGTAGACCAAATTCTGAAAATTAATCAATGAAACAAACAAAACGACAACATAGCTACCACATTATTGTCTCTATTTTAAAACTTCTTCATTTTTTTAAATCAAAAGAGGTGAATAGATTGATTCAATAGTAAAACAAAAATATTCCAATCACTAACAATACTTTACTGCATTTACATTCTCTAAATATTCAATATTCTTTAAACTTTGAACTTTTCAGTTAAAAAACTAGTTAAGAGGGCTTGACAGATCACAGTATATAGCATTTGTTGCTTTTGCAGAGAGTGCAGAAAAATGTAAAAGAAGCCCCATGTAAAGTTATGTTTATTACCAGAATTTTCCTCATTTCTGGTAGCCATTGAATGTTCATGGATTTTACTTAAAAATAATCACAAATAATAGGTAAATCCAAACAATGAGTCAGGAATTCTATAAGAAGAGCATTCTTACCTACAAAAACGAGATTTCTGTAATTCTCCAACATCACATCAATATATAAAGTCCTCCAAGCAGAATCCAGACATTCCCACTCCTCCTGGGAAAAGTCTACATCCAAATCCCTGAACGTCAACAGACTCTGTAATAGAAAATTACCCATTTACCATGTGCTTTGGGCAAAATGCTTTCCTATGGAAAAGAAACATAAGGAATGACAGACACTTTTGTGATGCAGATGAGGCATGACAATTATTCAAAGACTAAAGTTTTTTAGAGGTTGGACAGAAATGGGTTAGCAATTTTAAGCATTAGCAGCTCTTTCAGAGGACTCACATTCAAATCCTACTACACAACTGAGTTTAACTACACTTCCATGGGATCCAATGCTCACCTCTGATCTCCGCAGGCAGGATATAGATGGCAGTCATGCATATATTTTAAAGCAAAAATGAAAGTTAATTTTGAAGAAAGATACTTTCTAGAATATTCATACTGTTTTTTAAAATCTCTGTAAAAAACAGGATGACATTGAGATTTGGCAAACATTAAACTTTTAGGGAATATGAAATAACTATTTGAGGTATGGATGTACCTTCCTGAGGGGCATTTTGATATCAAACATTATCACTGTGTCTAATCTCACATGGAAAAGTTATGATAAGCAAAACTGCTTCCAAATGTTTCTCCTATAGTCCTGCTCTCATATGGATACTGGCTCAATCTGAATCTTGGCTTCATGTGATGCTATTCTAAAATGCTCAGTTGGGATACTGAAGTCCAGGTTCCATGCTGCACCCTCTGTAGAACAATGTAGAAGGCAGAATTCAGGGATGAATTCAAAGTCAATGAGATTTGTCTTTTTACTGATAAGGAAGATCAGTAAGAGTGCATATATCTCATGTTCTAAAATACACAACAAAGTCAAATAATCTGTGACATTAAGTTATGACACTACTTGGACTACCATGAAATAAATAGAAAAATCAGTAATAGATACTGTTATTCCACAAGTCAATACAGATGAATAACAATTTCAGAAATTCCATATATGGTTTTACTACAGAATAGTTAGAGAAATTTGTATAAATAAATAGCCTATGTGACAATGCATTCAGATGAAGTAGAAAGATCTTCTGTGATCAAAAACAATGTACAAAGTTTGTCAGAATTATACTAATTCTTCATTAAGTATTTTGCTGCCTATGAGATCAGCTCAATTTAAAATTTGAAACTTGCCATTTTAACTCTGTCCTTTACTTCAATATTTGAGCTCATTCATCTAAGAGAACTTTAGATTGTATGAAAATTGTCATTTATTATTGTTCTTTCATATTTCAGAAAGAATACACAAGGTTATATCCCCACTTTTTCAAAAATGCCCATGAGAAATGTAAAGCTGGAGGCTAGAGAAAGACTTCAGTGGTAGAAAGAACTTGCTGTTTTTGCAGGGAAACCCAGTTCAATTCTATCTACACATGTGGCAGCCCACTACAGTACCTGATTCCAGTGCCAAGTGTTTGGTGCCAACCTCAGGACACCAGGCAGGCATTCAGTACATATAAAAACATGAAGAAAACATACACATATGCAAACATATTGTATTTAAAAGAAAGAAATGGAAACCTGTCCACAGCAACCTCACTTCAGAATCTCCACCTAGGTAATACAGTAACTTTGGGGAAGCAAAACCATAATATGAGGGAGCATTCCTCCTCCCAAAAGAAAAGGGAGCAAAATCTTTAAGAGAGGCATTCACTGAGGCTAGAAAATTGATGGGTTATGCACAGCTCCAAGACAACTCATTCTAGAAAAGTCTTCCTTCATATTTCACATGATGCAATATCAATATGGATCCCACTTTGCTTATAAAATGCACTGTGGTACAATGTCTAAAAAATAAAATGAAGGACAAAGAGAAATTACTAATCTATTGAGAATTATCCACTGACTATTGGAATCAAGAGACTGATAAGAGCAAGAAATCTCCTGAGACAAATATATTTCAGGTATTCAAAAACTGTGATCCCAGTCCCCAACTCAAACAGAGACCCCATGCTTGACCAGTGGCCACGCAGGCCACCAAAACTGCAGGTATGCCATCTGCCAGAGGACATTCACTCACTCTTTAGCTCCCTGACCCCCCTACTCTCAAACCCCTCCCATCTTCAATGCGGTGTCATGTCCAAGCCCACAACTCAGATGGAGGCCTCCTACCTGGTGAGATGTTATGCTGGCCACCAGAACTCTAGATAGGTCACCCACCACAGACCACCTCCACTCTCTCAGTGCCTGCCCAACCTACCCCCAACATTCTTTACCCTCCTCCTTGCCCTTTCCCAGCCCCTGACTCAAAGCACAGACCCCCTGATTGACCAGAAGCCATGCTGGTCACCACAAGACCAAGCAGGTCACACGCCAACAATATTCCTCTCATACACTCAGTGCACTTCCCATTCTCAATTCACCCACAACACCTCATCACCAAGTCTGAACCTCCAACTCAGGCGAAACCCTGCTTGACCAGATGCCTCCCCAGCCACCAGAAATCCAGTCCTCAACATGGATGAAGGACACATGCTCAACCACAGGCCACATCAACCTGGAGACCAGAGATTATACGGAAACCAAAGAACACCCATCCAACAAAGATAAACTCAGGAACTGACACCTGCACCTATAATCACCACAAACCCAGATGCCTAGATGCCAGCCCAAGAGCACAATCAATAACAGCCAAGGCAACATCACCACCAGAGCCCAGCTATCTTACTACAAGTCTTGAATATCCCAATACAACTGAAGCACAAAAATAAAGACATTAAAACCAGGTTTATGAAGATAATAGAAGCCCTTAAAGAGAACATAAATAAATCCCTTAAAGAAATCAAGAAAAATACAAACAAAAACATGGAGAAAATTAATGAATCCCTTAAAGAAAGACAAGAATAGAACAGTTGAAGGAAATGAATAAAACTTTTCAAACCTAAATATGGAAATAGAAACAATAAAGAAAACACAAACTGAAGGAATTATGGAAATAAAAAAAAGGAGGTAAGTACACAGGAACAAAAGATGCAAGGATCACCAGGAGAAGTAACACATGGATGAAAGAATTCCCATGCAGGGATTGCCCTGCACAGGGGAAATAGAATAGATTTGGCCAGTGGACTAGGGGCAGGTGGTAACTGAGACATGATCTACCTCAAGACCCAGCTATAATACTTTTGTGTATATACCCAAAGGGTGCTCCATCCTACCACAAGGGCACTTGCCCAACTATGCTCATAGCTGCATTACTCACAATAGCCAGAAACTGGTAACTGATGTCCTTCAGCCAAAGAATGCATAAAGGAAATGTGGGGCATTTACACAATGGAGCATTACTCAGCTGTTGCAAATAATCACATCATGAAATCTGCAGGTAAATGGATGCAACTAGAAGAAATTATCCTGAGTGAGGTAACCCATTATAACAAACACAGTATGTACTCACTTAGAAGTTAGCTTTAATAAAGGTTAAGAATCCTACAACCCACAGACCCAGAGAGGATAAGTAACAAATTGGGCTCAAGCTGGATGTATGGATCTCCCTGGGAAGGGGAAATAGATTATCCAGATGGATTAGGAGGGATCAAATGGTAGGGGAGGGATGGAGGAAGAGAGTACAGGGGAGAGGCTAATGAAATTGGAGAGCATTGGGGGGCTACGTGGAACCCTAGTGCAGTGGAAACTTTCAGAATACTATGAGAGTAACCCTAGGGAGGAATCCTAGTAATGGAGGAAATAGAGTCTGAACTGGCCATGTTCTTTAACCAGACACCTTCCAGTGTTGAGACAGGGACACCAACCCAGCCACAAAACCTACAGTCTATACTGACTGCAAGATATGCAGGGACAATGGAAGTGCAGAATTTTTGGGAGTGGGCAGCCAGTGATTGGTCTAATTTGAGGCCCATTGTATAAAAGGGAGTCCATGTCCAACACTGCCAGGAAGACCAGGAAGCAGAGGCTGGAAAGCCTAGAGACCTGCAATAGAAAAACAAAAACAAAAACAAAAACCAACCAAACAAAATAACATGTGTTCCAAATGATCCAAATGATATTCTGTTATACTCACGGATCAGTGCCTAGCC